AGTCTCGCCCTCAGAACGGAAAAATCCTTTAAGAGCCTTCTATAACGGCTGTTCGCAAAATTCAAAGGAGAGTTTCCCTACATCTGCTTAATTTCGGTGGGGTTTGCATTTCCGTTTTTGTTGATCGTTTTATACAGTAGTGTGAATTCCTTTCTAGGGTTCAAAACTTTGTTCCTCGCACGTCCACAAGAAACGAACTACTCCGAGACTACTCGTCGCCTTCCGACAAGCCTTCGCCGATGATTCGCTCAAACACGCTCACTACTTTTGAAAAGTTGGGAGACTGGAGGTTAGTTTTACAAGATCACGTGAAAATCATGTATACTTCCCGTCAAAATCACGTGCTATATTGGTCTGTCTACATCTCGTGTTTTGTGATTTATGTTTTACAGTTCAACAGAGAATGCTCCACCCATCAATCAACGTCGAACTCTTCAGCTGAGCAAAGACAGTTCAGCAGGATTTGGTTTCACTCTGCAGGTATTTAAAAGTGGAGGGGAACCTGGGACAGAAGGGAGGTCTTGTACATGCGTACTCGTCGTGCGGTTTTTCAGTGATATTAACTTCACATGGATATCCATCGCGGGTAGTTTTTCCGGGCCCCCCCCCCCCCCCCCCCAAAAAAAAAAAAGGGCCTAAAAATTCACGCAGCACTAGTTTTAGTATGAAACTTTCACGCATCTTAATAGGAAGCAGACTCGTATGTACGCAGTGCGAACCATTATTTTTTTCGTCCATAGACGTACGGAATTGTCCAGCAATCAGGTGATGTGGAGTACATGACTTTTGTTCTCAGTGTAGAGGAAGATGGACCAGCTTACATGGCAGGACTCAGACCAGGTGAGCCGATATGACAAATGCTTTTTACTCTACATTCTCCCTGAGCACATATTGATATAAAAATCCAGGGCTTTAGTCGCAGTGCGAAGTAAAGCAAAACAAAAAAAGCCTAAAAACCCTTGCAATCCTAGATTACTAATGTAAAACTCAGCTGAAAATAGCTCTCTTAGTCGCTTTTTTAACACCTTGCTTTCTGTCTTCTTTCCCGTTCACCTGTTTGAACTTGTTTCATTTTTTTTTACTGATTGACAGGAGATCTCATTCTGGAAGTTGATGGTGAAAGCGTGGAGAAGGTGGACCACAAGGAAGTGGTGGCACGTATTCACCAAGCTTCTAAATCAGTCAGGTAGTGACACGTGTAGTGTGCGTGATTCGCGCGTGCAGTGTGGTACATGCGACCAGTACGATAGATTGACGTGCAAACACTCTCTACGTAATCAATACATTGTTCAGAAGATAGACGCTATAGTCGCTGAGATGGTCAGCTGGGGGAGACTTTCTTAAGGTGGTACTCAGTGTTATCACTACAAACGTGTATTGAAAGTGTATCTAAAAACCCGGCGACTCTTAGAAGGAAGGAAGAAGAAGGAAGTTCTTAGAAATTAATTAATTTCCTGTTGTCTTGAACTAAATTTTTTAGATTGGTGGCAGTATTTGTAGATGCTCTTCGAAGAATGAAGATGAATACCAGACTAAAATTACTCCAGGTTTGTACCTATTACACTCTCAGTTAACCTTCGTCTTTATTTGTACCCTTTTGAAAAATATTTTTCGTTTTATCTCTCTATCTTTCGCTTTCATGACCCTTCCGCCACAAGATCATCGCAATTTATTTTTGTCAAAGCTTCCTTCACCGTTCTTTCCTCTCCTTCTTCTAAGCGTTGTTTCCCCTAATTTTGGTTTGGTAGACATCAATCCCTATTAATAGGAGCACGGGCCGTGTAATTGCAAAGAATGATGCCATGAAAGATTTGGAGAAAAAGATTTCACCACCAACAGTAGTTATGAAAACACGTTCATGTACTTATCTTCCAAACGTTATTCCAAGTCAAAGAAATGTTGAACAATAAAACTTAAACATTCCCCACCCTCCCCTTCCTTGGATATTCTCCCTACGTGTTTGACCTTCCCGCTGATTGAAGGATCTTCTTATATTCGAAACAGGCTGAACTGGCGGACAAGGAACTCTTATTCCAAGAATTGTGTAAGAGAGAAGATGAAATACTCCAAGGTTTGTATTGACGAGGAAGTAGTCTCTCCTTACGTGCGTGGTCGATATGATATCAAGTGAACAGGTGTTTAGAATAAAGAAAAACATAAACTAGGGAATATCAATTGATTAAGGGAAAAATTCTCAGAACTTACATCAAATGAAGTGTATGGAAGACAGTAAGGAGAATAACTATTAAGGTACTAGGAAAAATACGTATAGGAAAGTAAAGAGAGAATCAGCCGAGGAGACTGAGACCAACAGATAGGCTTCTCTCCTAGAAGACTCGAGAGCCATTTTTAGCTCACTTTTGCCCCTCTCTTAGAAGACTCGGTAGCCATTTTTAGCTCACTTTTGCCCCTCTCTTAGAAGACTCGAGAGCCATTTTTAGCTCACTTTTGCCCCTCTCTTAGAAGACTCGAGAGCCATTTTTAGCTCACTTTTCGAAGTAGAAAATCCGGGGAGGTTGTAAAAAAGGCCTTTTTTAAAATTTTATTATTACCGAGTGTAGTCAAACTCGGTTAACATAGAAATTTAGACAGTCTGTAACTTTTAGAAATTTATTAAGAGGGTAAGTTTCTAAAGAAACTGTGGTGCTGAGTCAGTGGAGGGTACTACGAGATTATTTGGCTTTATGCCTTGAGTTGAGAAAGTAAATTGCCCATCAGAAGAGCTGCCAAAGGTGACGTTTCGAGCGTCAGCCCGTCATCCAAGCGAAAAAAATTGATAAGTTAGTTTTAGGTATTCATTGCTGGTTATTTTTGCCTCAACAGGAAAAGGAATTTCCTCCTCAGAGATGTCTTCACTGGATCTACCTCGAGAGAGAACGAATTCTTTTCTGTATACCCACGAATTAACCAGTACTTTCAGTAAACAATCGCCAAATGTTCACGACAGTGTTTTACAATATCGCCAAGCTTTACACGACAAAGAGGCTCGTCGAAGTTCTTTGCCAGATGGAGTTGAGCTTGGAAAACAGCGAATTACTGCGACCACTGGTTCTGAAATGTTAAAAAAGTTTTCCTCTCCAGATCTAAGCGCGCAGCGGCGCAAACCAATCAGTGCTAAACTGATAAAAAGTTTCCGCAAGAAAAAGCCGTCAGTGGAAAGTTTTAAGTCATACTTGGAACTCGATTTGGACGCTGAGAATCCTGGGAAAGAGGAGGAAACTGGAAGTGATACACCTGGTCCCGATGTTTTTGAGCCAGCGTTGACCACCGCTGAAGCGACAGCTACGGCAGTGTTAGACGAACCCAGGACTTTAGAACGAGAAGCTCCAGTGACAAGCAATTTTACTCCTTTAGAAGAAAATCCAAAGCTAAGTTCTCTTATACGAAGCAACAGTGAACAGAACAGTTCTACCCTCTACAAGGAGTTTTCGGAAAATCCTGATGTGTCAAACCAAGATCGAATTGCACCAGGAATAGCCCAGATGAAGAAACGGTTCGAAAAATCCTCGTCGTCAAAAACGTTACCGACAAAGTCTCTCAAGCCAGCGCAGGACGAACGGAATGGAAACACTCTTGGCTCTAATGCTCTCCGAATGGCGGAATTTCATGAACTCAACCAGAGACAAACTCCTTCCTCCTAACGACAGGAAAAGTAACTTGAAATAGAGACGAGAGATGAATTAAGGCATAGTTATCACGTGTCTTTGTGCACCTCCCCCTGATAAGTCTTAAGTCAGAATGATGTTATTGAGCAAACAATTTGATCCCTGAGGAAGGTGGATTTGGGTGCATCAAAATTCTTTATGTTCACACATGAGGAACGTATCGTGAGATTAAAAAGCCCTTCGAGCATCAAGGTGCCTAACCCACTCTATCTCTCCCCGCTCCGCTCTTCTACGCAGAAGGTTCGGCGGGTGGGCGTTGCAAGGCCAATTAGCCGCTTTACACAAAGAGCGAAGGCTCGTGTTGGAACGCAAGTGTACGCAAACTGAAAGTCGCCGGAATAGTTACTGTAGTATCTACAATTTGCGTGAAGCCTCAGGGCTAGATGAGAACCCTAAGCAATTAACAAATGTTTGGAGAATTACATTTTTTTTAATTAAGTACCGTACTCAGAGAACTTGCAAATGCAACGGAATAACAATTTCCTTACAGCAATAGGGAAAGCTTTGAATTGATTCACCTACAAGTTAGTAGTCTCCTCGGAATGACAGCTTTTGTGATAAAAATAATTAAAGAATGGATGATTTGAAATTGGATATTGTTCTCATGAGAAATGTTAAAAACTTGCCATCGGGATTCATGTTCTCGTAACTGAAAAAAAAAAGTTGCCAATTCGCTTTGTTTTTTGCAAAGTGAGACAAAGAATTGTGTACGGTTTATGATGCAAATGCACTGCTATTGTTCTTCTCGTCAAAGTTTTCTTTTATTTCCCTATTTCCTCGTTTCTGTTCCGTCGTACTTTCCAACCCAGATCAACAGAGATTCAAAAGGCAAACTAGGTTTATGAAGGAAATGTGGACTAGGCGAGACAAAATATTTGATCCTTTCACCCCTAAGAGCGTCTAACATCTAATTTTTCCATACAATATCTCTTCTGCAACACTCATTATGGTCGCCAGAATATAGGAAATGGTCACCAACTAAAGAAGCGCTTGATTGTTAAACAAATTCTCCTTGTCAACACCTTAAGAAATGTATGATAAACAGTATGGAGAATATGCATACTGATGTTAAGGGTGTAAAGGGTTAATGAGCAGAGGAACTTGTTAGCACGTGCGTTTAGAAACTTTGTACATTTCGATACCGTTCACCGGTCAAACACTTGCAAAATCAAATTCTGAATAGCCTAACATTTCATATTAGAGAGAGGGTCTGGCGCCATTGGAGATGGTAAATATCACGTCGTTTGCGAAATTTTTAATGGAAGTTAAGTTCGAATATTGTTTGATCGACGTTCTCCTTGGCATCGTCGGCGAGAGGGGCTCGACAATACTCAATGTTTCAATTTGCTTTTATTCTGAAATATTTAAAATGTTTTTTCATAACAGTCGATGTGTACACCCCTTTAGTTTACAAATTTATGGCTCATTTAACTGAAAACATTCTACGTTTTATAGTGGTGTGTCAAAAGCTTATTCGACGACTGAAAATGTCGTAGAGTCAATAAAATTCTAAACCTCTTTAGCTCTCCCAACCCCATTTGCGTTCTATATCAATGGGTAGTCGACTGAATTTATTCAATTTTACAAAGAAAGAATCTTTTTAAAAACAAGGACAACGACAAATCGGTTTATCCGAGCATCACAGTCGGTAGTCGAAAATATTCGATTCACTAGGGCTAGTCGCCAAGACTTCGGCACCATCGGGTTTTTCCGAAGGAACATTGATTTCCGACGATACGGCTCGTAGTGATTCGGAAAAACTCGTTCCGTCTACTTGTTGAAGTTCAATATGTTCTTTCGTAGACTTGAATCCCGGGAGTTTCAAGTAGCCAAGACTGTGGGCTTTCTTATGTGACTTTGTCGTCTGCGATGCCGACTGGTCTGAGGAAGAACTCCCTTTACTTGAATCATTTCCTTCGGCGTCAACTCCTTCATTTCCTTTCAGAACTACAGCACCATCGCACTTTGTTACGCTCAATCCACTAGTTGACAGAGCCAAAATATTTCCAATCACTAAAACAAAGAAACAGCAGAGATAACTGATTTAACAAAAGATGGACAGTTTTAAATCTTACCCCGAGTAACACATAGCCACTTCTGTTTGGGGCACTATAGATATAAGCCAAATAGTAAGTAAATTGTAAGGCGTTGAAAACTAGAGTGCTGGCAGTCTGTCTTTTTCAAGATAAAGAGTAACTTTTCGTGAGAAAAGGTTCGATCCGGCCCATTCCTGTTCAAATGCCTAGGCCCTCAGGAGAACTTAATAGCAAAAAAATTGCAAAGCTCACCAATCATTCACAGGTCAAGTTCAGGAAGGAAAGGTTTCCACTTTTAACTTATTAATTATTGAAGAGATTAAAGCTTTGGTCATTTAAAGATTTAAAACTACTCTTGACAAGCTAATTCTGAAGACCACAGGGAACGTTGGGGTTATGAATTTTCGAGAATTCAACTTACATTCTTCAGGAACTTTCCAATTACCTTTCAAATTTCAGACATGTTTTCATTCTGAGTAACACTTTCTATTGCAAGGGGAAATTTTGAAAGAACAAGGAAATGGATGAAAGTACAAATACAGCGACCGCTAACCATATCACTTCTTATGACTACACTAGTTGCCACCATTAACTTTGCTTATGCAAGCGCGAGAAAAGAGGCAGCTTGACTTGCACCTGATTGGTTTAAAATGAGCGCCTTACCTCGGATTGGCGGAGAAAACTACACTTCGTACCTCCTACGTTGCACGTAGTCTACACAAGCTTAATTCCTAGGGTACGCTTCTTTATCGAGTTTTGTTCCTTTAAGCTTTCTGAAGCACAACTTTCAGCGCTTAATATAATAAAGCCAGCTTAAAGCCTTTCACTCTTTGCATTTATTTTATCAGATAAATATTACTCTGACATGTAACATTGATTCAATACAGACAGGTTGCATATTTCATTAATTTATTTGCATAACAGAGAATAACAGGACGCTTTACACAAAGCATTGACACATTCTAAGGACAACTCACATTGACAGCGATTTTAAGTCTAGGTTTCATTCACTTCGAGAAGAGAGGCAATAGTTACAATTAACAGTTTATTAGAATGACATTTATCTTGGCTTTTTCATAATTAACAATTAGATTACAAGGTTGAGATGTAAGATCACTGATGGTGTCTGAGTCACTGCAAACCTACCCCTCCACTAACCCAAAAAAACAGTCAATTGATAACAATTTAGGGTTAATGCTGAGTTAGGGGAGGGGTAGGTGAGCAGTTGGTCAGATACTGACTTAAATCCAAGATTTCTGTCATGACATAGTCGATAACAGCAACCTCTAAATCAACTGTCATGCATAGAAACCAAGGGGGCATAATTTTTTTTGTTTTTGGTATAAATCTACTATTAGTTGAAAATTTTGCAACAAGGCAAGCTCCTGTTTTTATTTTGTTTTGTAAGACTACTTGCTTTACTTGCTGTCTATCAAGGAATAGGTAGGGAGAAGCATAACCAATCAGATTGCAGCATTTGTGTAATAAGACACCATTAGATTTAAACAAATACAAAGTAAATTAAAATTAATGCCAGATTCTATTACATTTACCCTTCACCGCATGTATCTACATATGATGCTATTAAGGAACTAATAGCTCCTATTTTCAGCAGCTTTCTATAAAGCTTAATCATTATTGCTCAAAGCATTTGAAATCTAAATTGCATGGATACCAGAGTTCAAACCAAACCAGAGTTCAACCTCACTAGATACCACAAAAATAAACTAATTTTTCATTGTACTTTATATTTATTTATAAATATATATTTGCCCCTACCATTCTCACACTGCATTACAAACACATTTTATTTACAAAAATCACATATTAATACTAACTTGTTTAAATTATTAAATATTGTTATCATTGCATTGCAGTTTATCAGATTTATTTGAAGCAGTTACCATTGACTTGTGCACTTAATCAAAATAAATATTTTTATTTTATCGTTAAGTTTCAACCTTGAATTGAAACACAAATACCTCAAAACTGTATCATCAGATATAGGTACCAAAAAAATATACATCGCCTTGGCAATTTAACACTTAGACTGTGTTTCACGAGAACATATTTCATTTTAAAGGAAAAGAATGGCCTATTTAAACTATTTGTACTAGGCTAAATAACCACTTAATCAAAGCCAAGTGTTAAGATACTTGACACTGGAATTATCAACTGAATCAACAGTATCAGTATACACATCACTCATGTTATCACCCTCATCACCACCAATAGTTTCCAGACAAGACTCATAAGATTCCCCATCAGAGCAATATATACCTGGTGCCTCCATTATAGAGCTACTGACTGATGGTACAGTCTTACTACTGATAGCTTGGGTGTCCTGTGTGTCTGTCAGGTACATCTCCAACCCTAGGGGACCATCACTGGGAAGGCCTCCAGTTTGTTCCAATGAATGTTTGATGGCATTAGTGAGCTAAAAACAAGTAAATACAAAAACAGAGAGAGAAAATACTTATTTGATGTAAGGGTTGATGAAGATTAATGAATTTTCAGGTACAAAAAAGGTCAGAGTAAAATGCATGCACAAAATTGCAGAAATTGCAGATATAAAAAATCCTTACCATATGAGCTGGGGCAAACAAGCTGTGAGCAGCACGCCAGTGAAGATCTTCGAGAGCTTTGGTGGCCAGAGTTCTTTGGCCATTGTACCTGTACATTACATCATTAAAACTATTGACATGCTTTGAGAAATGTTCACACATAAGCATTTCCAGATCTTTGACGGCCCAAAAGAGTACAAGGTATTAATTGCTTATGCATAGCATGATAACATTATATAAGTGTAGGAATTCAAATTCTTGCAAGGTTTAAATTTATTTTTAAAAATCAGTTTTTTTATTATTATTTCCCTTTACCTTAATGCTGGAATTAACTGTAGCACCACCATTTAAAAATACATTTCTTCATGTACATTTTGACACCCTAGCATCGGTATGCATATTCTCCATGATGTTCTCTATACATTTCCTAAGGTGCTAATTAGGAGAATTTGTTTAACAATCAAGAGCTTCTTTGATTAGAGATCATTTCCTTTACTCTCATGACCTTAATGTGTGGTTCAGGAGTGATATTGTCAGGAGATATTGAATGCTAGTCACATAACTTACATCAGGAAATAAACCCCATAAATCATCTCTTGAATTAGCTCTGTGCTAAGTGATATCCTAGGATGGTTCACCAGTGTTGTTAATTCTTCACTTGAGAACTCTGACTCTGATTCCTCCTTCCCACGCTGACAGAGTTTGTAAAAGCCACATTTAGCCAGCCTTGATAACATGTAGTAAATGAAAAAATAAATGTCAACTCTTTGTAAAATTTGACTTTTATTAAAAGTAGAATCAAATTAAAGCACAGGTCTGGTAACATTATAGATGTTCTCAAAACCTTTCCTTTTGCTAAAATTAGTAACACACCAAGTGTATTTAATTTTACAATAGTTGTGCTAATTACAATGATTCTTCACTTAGTTAATACATATCTGTTACTTACATTAAAATCTCTAACATTATTTACATCCCAATACTAGCACTACAAACAATAGTATCACAAGTTACACAGCCTATATTTTAAAACTGGTGTCTCTTCTTTTTTTTCTGTTTTTGTTTTATTTTGTTTTTTCTTTTGTAATTAAATAAATTTAAAAATAAAAATTAAAAAACAATAATAATAAAAAGTTTATTAACAAAGAGATTCCACGTGGCCCTGCATCTATTCAATACTAGATCACAGATGACGTCAAAATTTGGCAAGAACAACAAAGTGGCAGAAGAAGCACAGCTCAGTGTGTCATTGATGTTCTTCTCACATTTTGACCTCTCCTGCAATCTATTACTGTACAGACCCACAGCAACATGGAATCTATTTGCCTTATACAATTATAAAAAGCAAACAAATTTTAATGGTGACATCAACAATACATTTGTGCTCCTCTAGGAACCAATCAAATGTGTGCATAGTCCAGCTCATAATATATTATCTAGTAGATACTACACTCCATGTCTGACTAATTCAAGCAAAAATGTCTGCAAAAGGTAAAAGGTTCACACCTTATTGTTTTCTTAACATATTTTCAAATTTAAGACAGGGTTGAAGATAGTTAAAATCATTCTTCTCCAAGTAACCTTACTTCCAGACAAATCAATTCTTAAAACAAAGGAAACAATGTACCTCAATGCCATGATACAAAAGCTGCAATGAGAGGCATCTGACAAGTAGACAATGTTTGCATTATACTGATGAAGAATCACACTCAATATAGAAAGCCTGAAAAGGAAGGAATTCATTAGAGATGTACAAAAGATAACTAGCACTTATAATGAAGGGCAATCCAGCCGCACTTTGTTGCCACATCTTTTCATGGCATTGGTAATGAGTATACTGCAGCGATTGAAAATACTTGAACAGCAATCTGCTGTGTGCCTCTTTAACCCTCCTAGCAATATCACTCCTGAATCACATATTCATGTCATGAGAATAAAGGAAATGATCCATGACTTAAGAAGCTCTTGAGTGTCAAATTCTCCTTGTCAGCACCATAGGATCTCTTTAGAGAGCAGTATGGAGAATATGCATACTGATGTCTAAGTGTAAAGGATTAATGCCCATTGCAGACTACAAAATATTAAATTTGAATGAGCATACTGTCTCTACAAGTAAACCATGTCAGACTCTACCTTTATCATAAGATTTTTTCCAGAGAAAAATAAAAACAACAATAAAAACAATCATAACACTAACCTATGTGTAGCAGTGATTTTGTTTTGAGGTTTTCCTGGACCTGGTAACATCACAATTGTCTCACTCTGTTCATGTCGGCTCAGAGCTGTCTCTGTCAGTATTGAAGATGTTGTAAAACTCTGCTGGGGCTTGAAAAAAAACTTGAATAAGTGAACAACTGAGGCACTTAAGTTAAGTCTTACCAATAAAGTATGAAACTGTTAATATAAGTTTCAACTTGTAATTCAGTGTTCTTAAGTCAAAATCAAAATTTAGTCAAGTATCAATTTATCCTTTCACTCCCAAAAGAGACCAATAACTTATTTCTCCCTACAACATCAATACACTTTCAAGCAGAAAGGTAATGAGATAACAACTTCTGATCAAACTGTACCTCATGGTAAATTGAAGGCCTCGAAAGTGATGGCAGTCTGAACTTCTTAACATTCTGCTCTCCATTATCATTCACAACTTCCTGTAGTTGTCATAATTCAGGGGAAAGGACCATTAGATGTATAAAATAGTTATAATTTTGCTAAAAAATAATAGATAGACAACAAGTTTTAAAGTTTTTTTTTAGTGTTTATTTCTGATTTTAATAAACTAGTATCATCAGCTGATGAAGGAAAATCAATAGCATTTTCATTGTACTTACATCATTATAGATAGCCAACAGCAGAACTTCTAGACTGCCATAGGCCTAAGATGAAACACAAACAAGAACAATTACTATTTTCAAATAACTTGCTGCTACCATGAACTAAGCATATTGTTCAATCTTAACAAACTGATTTACACACTTTCATCAATAAGCTTTTTCTCAGCAGTAAGTGAATTTGATTAACAATCAAGAGTTTCTTTAGTTAATGGTCATTTCTTATATTCTTGTAACCTCATTGTTTGATTCAGTGGTGATGCTGTGGGGAGAAATCAGATGCTGGTAACCTCTAAGAGGTAACAGGTACAAAGGGGGCCTTTTACTAAAAAAAATATATTCTCATGATCTAATAGTTCAGGGTATAAACACATGCACCTGATCTAACAAGAGAGTTACTATCATAAACCATTTATTGAATAAATGTATTCAAACCCTCATGTAAATTATTGTACTGCACCTGATGATCTCTTCTTGTTGTGGCAGATAAATAATTCCAAATCAACACAGGAACAAACTGAAGAACAAACAGTTTTCCAGCTTTTCCCCTTTGATTATACAACTCGAATAGACCTTTATAAACTGAATCTGTCAGCTGGAAAAAAAATTATTTTGTGATTATCAGCCCGAGAGTAGAAGTGTAATATGCAAGGAAAGTGACACTGCCCTTTTCCTCCTTTCCAGTCTCCACTCACCTCATGTGTATACTGGTTTGGTAAGCTCTGAAATATTCCATTTACAAAGTCTTTATTACTCTTCAACTGTTGAAATCTTTTTGGCGATTCTGATTTGGAGAAAGACTGAAGCAAAACAGATATATACATGAGTTGTTGTAGTAACAGCTGTTTAACAAAAAATATATAAATAATTTTAGAACAATGACCACCGTGCAGGAGCTGACAGAATAGAATAAAACACAATTTCATGAATATCCAATAAAACGATAACTATTTCAAAAAACGGAACAAGCAATCAGCCATTTTAGTGTCTTCCTTGAAAAGGAATCTTTGAAGAGACCTTGAACTCGGAGACCATATCACTCACGTTGCTATTCTCATAAGTCTTAGTATATTACGGTACATATTAATATGTACTCACATCTAAAACTTCTTTAATCGACTCTAGATCCATTAAAGAAGATTACTCTGTTCTGAAGGACAACTGTTGTCTGCAGCAGGTTACAAATTTACTGTTTGCTTAGAGACTTGAACAGGAAAGCTTTCCCCAATCTTGGTTTTCAGCTCAGAACGACGAATAAAATACACCTGACACATCATATGAATATTTTTCATATAATCAAGTTAAATTCTTGCAGATCGTCTTAAATGACGATAAGGAAATTCCTGAAAGTAAGGGCCTAACCACAACTCAACGCCGCCATTTGTAGAAAGCAGCACAACAGAGAAGCACTGGGAAGTAGAATCTTTCCCATTCTCTCGCGACCGGAAAGAACAGTTCAACATGGCGGCCGCAATGCTCGGAAACAGAACTAATTCTGTTCTTTTGCCCTTCTTGGATTCGATTACAAAGTTGAAATTCATTCGCAACCACTCCAATATGGCTTTACGTTGTAAATCTGGGAGAAATAAGTTATATAAAGTCAAGGTGTGTCAAAATATAATGTTTCAATATGGTTCTCTACATCACATGTGTTAGAATGTCTCTTGGCCTTGAGTAATGTGTTCCTAGATACTCATTGATAAAGCTATTTTTTATCTAAGAGGACTGTTACCAAGCCTTTTTCTTTTTTTTCCATTAAATCAGCCATCAAAAATCCCCATTATCATTTTTTTTGTTCGACGTCCTTTAAAGGATTCGAAATCTGTGAATTCCCTATATCCATATAACACTGTACTCAAGCTTATTAATTCTTGTTGATAAAGAGTTAAAATAATTGACAATTGAAGAGGGTGGATCTTGGCAAATATTTCAAGCTCAGCTTAACCATCAATGCACTTTACACCTTGTGATCAATATCCAGATTTCTCAATACCCTTTTCAATGCAATTTCTTTGGTACTGACAATGAGAATATATACATGTACAGGCAAAATACAAATGTTGTTATGTTTTGTTCACAGCCAAACATCAGAAAACTCATGAAAGCAGATGAAATCAGACATGTGTTTGAAACAAATAACATGGTGATTGTTTGCCAGTTCAGTGACATGAATACAGCTGAATGGGAAGATTTACGATACACCCTTCGCAAGGATGAAATTGGGGTGAAGATGTTCCCTAACAAAATTACATGCAAGGCATTGGAAAATACCAAATATAGGGAGATACTCCCTCTGTTTCTGGCAGCAACAGTTGTCACTTATTCCAGAGAAGCCAAAGTGAAGACATTACTCACAGAACTCAAGAAACAGCCAAAAATGGGGATATTGGGTGGTAAAGTTGATGAGAAGCTTCTTTCAAGGAAAGGCGTTGTGGATTATGCTAAGTTACCACCCTTAACTGAACAATATGGCCAGTTATTGCAGGTGGTGACAGAACATTCTAGAAGACTCACAACACTCCTTGAACAAAACCAGATGAACCTTATTGCAAATTTGACGCAATATGTCAACAAGGATGAAGTAAAAAGCTGAACCCCCCCCTTCCCCCCCACCTTTAGCTGTGTAAATTTAACTTGCAGTGAATGTTCTTGTTATCTTTCAGTTCACTGGCTGTTTCTCAGAGTAGGTTTTCATAACTGTACCACAAGCCTGATATTTGTTTGTCAATAATGTCACCAGACTGAGTTATTGTAAAGAGAGGAGGAAAATTGAGAAAAACTGAACCAAAATCATTATGTTTGTTCTTAACTGTTTCCAGTAGGATGATGATTTTTGGTACATACTGAATTATCTTGCCTTTTCCACAAATTTGATTTGACTGGACAGGAGTATGAAAACAAAGCATGCATATACATGCATCTCAAAGACCAATATGAAAACCAAGACAAAGTCAAGACCTCTCAAAATACTGGTAGTGAACTTCTCTCTTTTGCTCTCCAGTCTTGCCAGTATGGAGTGCTTGAAGAAAACAGAATGAAGGATATTGGTTTTAAGTATCTACATGCAGCTACAATATGTAAGACTCATAATAACTGAAAATAAAATTCATTATTTACTCACGTGATATTCCAGTAATTCTAGACAAATTTGATAAATTAGTGCCCTGAACAGTGACAAATAACACCCTTTGTGAAATGAACTGATCATTCTCATATGCATAAACAGCCTTCAAATGGTGAAACAGTAACTTAAAAGAAGTTTTCATCTTAATCCACTAGCCCTTTCATTCTAAAGATCTCATTTCTAATTCTCATCATTCTCTGCCATAAAATTCTTTTGATGTTAAAGGGGTTAAGTTTCTAAGGAAACTGTGGTGCAGCATTAGTGGGAGAGTGTAACAGAGTAATTATGTGTTATCAACAAGTTGATAATGTAAATTGGCCACTGTAAAGAGTTTCAAAGCTAACATTTCTGGCATTAGCCCTTAGTCATTTGCTCAGACAAAGGGCCAACCCTCAAAACATCAGCTTTGAAACTTTTTACAGTGGCCTACTTAAGTTAATTCTTATGATGTCAGTTTGGAGAATTTGGTATTGGATCAACTAATAACCCCCTCAATTGATATTTTTCTTTACTCTCAAGTTTTTGAAGAGGGGTGTTGCATGACCAGCCTAAGAACAGCTGCCAAGTAGACTGATCACCTGTCTTCTTGCTCGTGAATTCATATTTTAGGGAAAAAAAATTTATCTTGGTCACAAATGGGAGGTAAAGGGTTAAATTTTTACAGACATCTGTTGTAAAAATTTCAAGAGTATTATTATTCCATTTAACAATGATTTCTCATCACTGCAAAGGACATCAAGAGATCTTCACATGTGATTTACTAGTATTGTTATGCCCTTTATACCCCTACAAGAACTGACAAGGAATGAACAATATGCCACAATGAAGAGCATGACTTCTGGGAGCAACTTAACAAAGGCAATACAATGAAAATTCCCTAGCTTAATGGTCCAACAACAACAATGACCATAAATTCGAGCTGTATTCAGTGTTCTGGATGCACACAATCCAATTTCTGTTTATTTTTGTTCCGAACACGGCTTGAAAAAATAATTACATTTAAATCAGAGATCATTTTCATACAATGCAAATCAGCCGACGAACACCTCACATTATTTTAAAGGCAATTTACATCTTAATACTTTTTCATGTCACGCACAAACAGACCGGCAAGTATCAAGTAGAAGCGTTACAAACAGCAGGAGTAATTAACAGAAAAAGTTCACGATCCAACTTGCCATTAAAATCACAGAGAATTCTTCCACTGGTTTGAAATCAAACAATTACAAATATTGCCGTCACTTTCCCAAGTTCCTTTGTACAAAAGTGTGTCTCAATGCATCCATAAAAATAGTTTATTCCCTCACAGTTACGAAAATGTATTTTCAGGCAGTAAATAATCCATTCTGGTTAATGATGTCCCCCGTGATCATCAGGTTTTTCAAGTAACTTCTCAATTCCGATGGCGATCACAAACGCTCCTACACCCCACCAAAATCCAGGGAGAAACTTGCGAATGTTTGCGTGCTTGTTTATGGACGGATGGTATCTCCAGGCCTCAAATCGCTCCCAAGGATCTTTCCGGACATTTCTTGCAGAGGGCATGTCTCAATAGATCGTCAAAATTTAGGGAAAATTCCAACCTTCCTCAAATCTTCAATACAATACTCGATATGCTTAGGAGCCAAGCCTAGAGCGTCAACGCACACACGGGGTTATGGGATAGCCGTAATTGACACATTTGTAAACATAAAAATTACGAGACTTCATGAGGAGTCCACAAGTTAATATTTGACAAGGTGAGGATGCTTTCTCCTTGATTCTTTATTTATACCAAGGTCTGTTTAATGATGTAGGTCTATGTACTATTTAGAGCGTAACCTCATCACGTATTCAATTTTCTCTCTGTATCTCGATCGATGTGCTCGATCGCGAAGTAATTGCGAAGGACTCGATTAGCTTAGGCTGCCGGCGAAACTAAGAAAAAAATTGTGCTTAGCGGAACAGGTGTTTTGATTAAGTTTGTTGATGAAAATATCGGTTCAGTAGTATTTTAACATATGATTTAAAATGAAATATTTTGAGTCGCTGCGTCGATTAATTACAGAAAACCAAAGACAATTAAAATTATTCCTGGTTCACATATTTACAGGCACCCAAGGTACAAACAATACCAAGGCCGTAAATTGTTTTATCTCTCATTTAATCGAAAATTTCTTGATTTTAAGTTTTATCCAAAATTTAACGGCAAAATTTCCGCAGAGCCCAGTAGTTCATTATGCATACAGTTCGTGGATAAAGAACACGATGGCGAAACAATCGATTGTGTTTGAGACTACGGTATTGTTTGAGAATAGTCTGGGGTGCTACGGAAATCTTCCCAACTTGACGATTAAACGATGTTTCCTGAAGATTGAGAGAATTAGGGCTGCTAGAGACTTCATTATTTGGCGATTTGCATTTAGAATATGCAGACGGACTTGAGTGCGGAATGTAAATTACAGATGTAATTATTATATAGACTGGTTGTACATAAATCACGAAATTGTTGATTCCTTCAAAGCATAATGTTTCCGTCATTTAGTGCCATCGAAATTGTTTTACGGAATTGGCTTTTCAACTTAAATTTCCTTACTCAGTGATTTGAATTGCTAGACTGATTCTTTTTTAAGTTAATCTAGCCTCAAGGCATAGACAAGAAATGAATATTTTATCAAAGTTTAAAATGCGAGGGGCAAGAGCGATCAAGTGAAATATGTTCCACAAGGCTAGTCTGAAGGAAAGAGACTCAACAAAAGCCCACCGATAACTGAGTTTGCCTTATTTTCGTGGTGCGTCATCAAAGTTCAACAATTGATATCACCGCGACGTAATACTCTTTTGTTGGATGCAACTAAATGCCCCTTAAAATTAAACAAACTCGATGGACATTCTTATCTTTTAATACCTACAGCGAAAGAAAATTTTGGACGGCACAATATCCTTGAGCAACAGAAGATGGGGGGCCAAGAATCAACGATGAAATTAAGGTACAAGTCGCTGAGTAATAATATGAATACATGAAGATATATCGTGATCTTTAAAGGTTTTTAAGTGTTGATACTCCTTCGATCTGATAGGCGAATTTAAAATATACAATTCATTAGGAGAGAAGGAAGAGAAGGCAAGTAAGTAGATGGGGAAAAAAGGGGGGGGGGGCGCCCTTGAAAGAATGGGGGGGGGAGCCTAGGGAAAAGGGGGGCACGGAAGTGAGACCGGACAGTATCTTTGCAATCGCTTGTTGGATGGAAATTATCGTATTTATGAATAAAAAAGACTGTTTTCGCCAATTGCAATGAAATATGAATAATTGCAGAGAAGAACAAGAGCCGAAATCATTTGACGACATCTCGTCCGCCGGAACACCAAGTACCAGTTCTCCGCAGTTTGCGTCTACGGACATGTTATACAATGCGGCGTCGGTACCAGAACTAAGATCCAACCCCATAAGACCGAAAGAGTTACTGAAAAACCTGCGGAAGTACCATAAAGAAACAGTCCGCTTACCAGCCAGTGACACACAGTGGGCTAAACAACTTGTCTACAGCCATACCCAGAAACTGCTCGAGTTTTGCAAGCGGGAGACTGGGGTTGTTCGTAACATGGAGTACACTGGCTCTATGTATGAGAGACTGGAAACTAAGAAGAACAATGAGTTTGAAGTTATGGTTGTCTTGACGACGGGTTCCGAAGATGTTTCAGTCGAAGAAGTTGTTCCAGGACTGTATACCAAACTAAAATTGAACACTGAACAAGCTGATACGAAACTTGTCAAGTTTACAGACAACTTTGATTATCTGCGCCCTGATAAGATGCGAAACTTACTTGACAAAGTCGCCCAGACATGGACTGAAAGCTCAAAAAGATTCTCCGATGGAACGAGAGTGCGGACTCACAAGCATGGAACAGCGGTTGAGATGATTATCCGGGATACTAATAGAGGAGGCTCTGTAACCGCGCAGTTGGTGCCTTGTGTAAAGATCGAGGATGACGCCGGAATGTCGCGATATTTCGTGCCGTGCGCTTTTCAAGAATACACAAAATTCGAGTTGGAAAATAACACAGAGCGTGCGATTCTGTGGCGGAAATCATTTTCGCTGCGTGAAAGAGAGTTGCTGTCCAGTTTAGACCGTTCCGGAAGTACTTGTCGTGCGGAATGTCTAAAAGTTCTCAAATTCCTTTTCAATTCCGACAGAAAGCTGCGCCCTTTTCATTTCCACATGCTAAAAACAGCCTTTCTACACTATCATAGTCTTGATCAAGACTGGCGCTCAGATCAGCTTGGGGAGAAATTCCTGGGCATGTTGAGGTACATTCGGGAGTGTATCACGAAAAAAGATTTGCCGCATTACTTCGTTCCCCGCGTTAATCTGATGAAAGTGCTCAGTGTCTCGTCACGTAACAGCATCGGGGCAAGACTGCAGCAGTTACTCACAGATGAAAAACAGTTGTTCTATGCAATTTCGGGATAGACTGTTGGGCACAATTATTGAAATCTGTCAATATTTCAGAATTTCATCTATGTAATTAATTACTGAAGAATGAACACTTTTTGAATACGCATAAACAATTAACAAGTGACAAGGCACTTTCGTTTCACAAACTCTTACAATTTTGTTCACCACTTGATCTAAATCAGTGAAAATTGCTGTAATGAAAGTGATTTCCCGGAAAAGTAAGTAGTTTTGTATTAGTCTTCGTAATGTATCACTTGGAGCACCAAACAATTACTTCAACAGTCTTTGCAAATAATCAACTGCAATTACCATCCGTTTAAGAAACCTATATGAGGCAAAGGATTATTTTATCCACGCTGTTACCAAGAGAATATATTCTCTTGACTGTAACACATAGATTCACCGTTTTCATGACATTTTTGGCTTCTTTATGCTTCTTGATACATTTTCTAGAAGCAAGACTCTATTTAGACGACGTGCAATTCCTCCTTTTCGCAGAATTCCGACGCACCAGTCAAAAATAAATCAATGCGCAAATATGGATGTTAGAGCGCCGCCCAGAACCTTAGAAATGGGGCATACGAAAAGAACTCAAAGAGTTCCGCGCGGCGCGCTAAGATATTTTGTCGGAGACTTTGTGATTCGTGCGTGACTTATGTCAGATGATGAATGTGAACATCATGTCAAGAGCTGGAAGCTCCGCCTTAAGTGATTTTGGGACATTGATCAGTTTACATGATCAACGCAACCTTGAATGACCTTTTAAACCAGTACTTGGCAACAACCAATTACAAAGTAGAGAATATCGTCTAAGAGAGTGACTTCTTACATATTTTGCAGAGTAGCTTTTTACACACCCGTTGCAAATAAGCAAATACGAGAGTGGAATAAAATAGTTTGATTGAGTCTAGTTCGTTAGAGTTCTATCCCTTGTAAACAGGGCAAAGTTTACGAAAATTTTTCAATTAATTTCTTTAATCAATCGCGCGACGGATTTCCCCGAAAAGCAGGGGCTCTTCGTAGTCTAGACTATATTGTGCATTATGAATTATGCTAACACACGTGTTTGAGGAACAAAATATAACTAAGTTTCCCACCAATACTGTGTCATCTATAAAACTCATTATTTTCTCTTGATAACCTATAACACAATGGTTAGTTACCAAAGAGAGTCCAAGTCGGCATGAATTTATGTTCAATTAACGAGATGAATCATTTTGCGAATGATGACTTAATAGAATTCTTTTTCCTGTCTCTTGAACCTTTATCATCAGAAAGTCAATCCTCCCGTTAGAAACAGAGAGGATTTTTATATGCTTGCGATACTGCTGTAAAAATGGATTGAGGCAATTTCCTCTGTTTTGTCGCAATTGTTACGATCAACCACGTGCAGAGGGTCTCAGTCGGGTTTTACACGTGTAAAATTGCGACTTTTTTTCTACGTGTATTTGATACCGTCAGTCAGCTGCTGACACGTCACTCGCCTTTCTTGCCACTCTGTCGGATTGTGCCGGAATAAATCACAAAGTGTTCCCCTTTCTTAATCTAAGGTCGTTTAATTTTAACGTCAGTCAAAGCCTATGGTGTTTATGTAATAAATCAAATAAAACGTGACATGAACATATGGAATTTCTCTTCTCGTGTTCAACTCGAAGAGAAATCCTATATCTAAATCTAAGCGCACCTATGTATTATTTTCTATTAAGAAATTACAAGCAGTTTATAATCTCAGTCTCTATTTACCAACTGAGTTTATAATTTAAATTATGTGGGCACCGTTGAGAGTTTTTAAAGCTGACTTTTCGAGACATGGCCCTTTGTCAAAGCGAATAGAGGAATTGTAGGTTGTGCGTGCCGGGTTTACAGACAATAAAGTGTACGTAATATGTTGTACCCGGCGGACACAGCACCACAGTTTCCTTGGAAACTTACCCCCTCTACTAAAATTTAAACGTCAACCGTAAAAAAAAAAAAATAAGTAAAAAAGATAGGAAAAGATGAAAAAAGCTCAAGATGAACCCCCAAATGATGTAAAGTTCTTTCATATTAGACTCCAGCCACGAAAAGGTTTAACCTGAGAGGAAGGTCTTACAGTCAGGTTTCCAAATATTCACAGATATTTCTTTTTATTTCGCCTTAAATATTAATAATTAGCTTAATATTTTCATATCTAAATCTCTAAAGATAGCTTATCACTTGATAACTTGTCTCTGATCACACCACGAGGTGCCACGTGGTCCGATCCGTGATTAAATTGGTCTCAGTCCATTTCACTCATTTGAGCTCTCTGGCCGTAACGAGTGGTAAAGAGTCTAACAACCCAGCAAACTTCCACAATTGTTGTCTGGAAACCGAGAGTCAAACGGTAAGACATATTCTGAAATGCAAAGTGTTATTGAATCACATATTTTTACTTATGGACTAAGAGGTCACGGTTTGAAATACGAAAGAAATCTTTAGATAGCACCTCATGTAATTATTTAATCTATATCTGTTTTATTTCCTACGTATTTTTTAGCCTGAAAGTGAAGAGCATTCGCAACCTTATTCTCGGGACTAGTAGAATCAGTTTTGTAAAATGTGTTAAAATTTTTTTTTTGCTTAAAAAAATTACTCAGTTGCGATGGGTTAAGATAAATGCAGTTTTCTGGTAAGTCAACGTAGAAAAGGGTTAATTCAGTGCAAAGAAGTAACAAACCAGGCTGAACAATTCCTT